CATTTCTAAGCTGAAGAGCCGGCGTTATTCACAGATGCCTCCAAGGTCATGGGATCAGTATAATTGCATGGAGCGCTGGAACATTCCCACAGAAGTGGTACCTATTGATCCACGCACATTTGCATGTTTTCGAACTGCTAGGTTGGCAGAAGCTGGGCCTAAAAGTGGGAGTTCACCCCACTCCCGGGATTTGACCCACCAACCTTTTGGTCAGCAAGCACAATTCAAGGTGCTGTTTTTGACTTACAAAACCCTTTATGGTTCCGGTCCAATGTATCTGTCCGAACGTATCTCCCTCTACGTCCCACCCCGGAATCTGAGATCATCTGGGGAGGCCCTGCTCTTGACCCCAGCTCTATCACAAGTGAGGCTGGTGGGGACGAGGAGCAGGGCCTTCTCAGTGGTGGCCCCTCACCTGTGGAACTCACTCCCGGGGGAAATTAGGGCATCAACATCCCTCCTCTCCTTCAGGAGGAAGGTAAAGACATGGTTGTGGGACCAGGCCTTTGGGCAATCTGACAATTAGATATGCACAACCAGATGGATAGGACTGAAAGGAACTGACAATTGTGGACTGGAATTTGAACTATGAGATTGCGAAACACTGACCGTCAATGAGAAGGATGGTTTGTATTGGTTTTATTGCTTTTACTGATGTTATATTGTTTTTGCCTTACAACAATTATTGTTTCTGTTAATTGATGTTATTGCTAGAATTGCTGTTTCTGTTAACTGATGTTATTTGTCTTATTGCTGTTATGTGATGCGGCCGGGCATCGAATTGTGCCTTGCTTTTGTAAGCCGCCCTGAGTCCCCTCCGGGGTGAGAAGGGCAGGGTAGAAGCAACCGAAATAAATAAATAAATAATAAAGCTCAGCAGTTTAACATGCTGCACCACCAAAGGGCCTAGAATTACAATAGTAAGAGGCTAAAAAAGTTTGTCCTTCATGGACTCCCAAACAAAGAATGGACAGGACTCACCTGATTCCAATCTTCTCATGCTTTGGTGAATTGTACCATAGTTTAATGACAGCAAGTATTTCTAAAATAGTACATCTATACTTGTAAATAAGAGATACGCAAATTTGTGAGCAAAGTTGTGCTGGGTTTCCCTTTTCTTTTTCAGCACTGCAGCCTCACTCTTTCTTTCTCTGACGCATAAAGAGCCATTCTGTTGCCTCTGGCCAATCACTTTCAGCTGTTGGATCCAACTAGACACGCTCATTCAGGGGCAGCTGGGAGTGGAAAAGCCTGTTAGCTGTTCAGGCTCGCAATCCCAGCATAGGCAGAATAGCCCTGTACATTTGCATTTGACTTCCAGTTATAGGGTTTGATTTGGAACTGAGGAAACCAACTTTTTAATACTGAGATACTATTTAAATCTTGCAAAGTGCTAACATTACGCCAGCATACTTACATGGATATCTGGGAGAGTAAAGGGAACCAGCTGGGCAGAGAAATGAGGGCACCACTGCAATCTATCAGTCCCCATTTTGGCCATGTGTAGGTATGTCTGTGAAGATATACATGTTGGTACTGGGTATGCTTATGCACTTATTTTAGTAGTCATCCCGAACCAAAGTTGTGTAAAGCTCCAAGAGAATTTTGCCACCCTGTTCTGCTTTGGTGAGGTCTCATCTGGAGTCCTGTGTCCAGTTCTGAGCACCACAATTCAAGAAGGAGATTGACAGGCTTGAATGAGTCCAGAGGAGGAGGATGACCGGTTATCAAAAGTCTGAAAACCAAGCCTTATGAGGATGGCTGGGGAAATGGGAATGTTTAGCTTGGAGAAGAGTAAGAAGGTGTTAGAAATGCCTCAGCATTTAACCTATGTGAAAATACAGTTTTGTTGGACATGTGATAACATTTGGGGAATGATTGAGAGGGTAATGATGAAATATTACCTAAGGGGCATGAAGAAATGGCTGAGTCATAATTTTGGGAGGGAACGCCCTCCCAAAAGATCTCAGACAGGCCCCTACTTTGGCAGTTTTCAGAAAGAATTTAAAAACTTGGCTGTTCCGATGTGCCTTTTCAGATTAGGAATCCCCATCACCAAGTCCTAGAAGCACTTTAGTAGAATTAAGATCGCTGCAGACCGCACTTACTTTATAATCCTACATTCCTCCTGCCACTTCAGCACTTTTAATTCCTGTACCCACTGCTCTGGCCGGCCCAGTTTTAAAGTGTCCTGATGTATTGTTACTGTTATTGTTTATTTTGCTTAACTGTTTTGATTTGCTTCTGGTATTGCTGTTGTATTATGTTCTGTTGTACTGTGTTTTGAGGCTTCGGCCTGTGTGAGCCGCATCGAGTCCTACGGGAGATGCTAGCGGGGTACAAATAAAGTTAATAATAATAATAATAATAATAATTATAAATAATAATGTGAGGTTTATGGCAAGGGGTTGGACCATTCATTTGTCCATTACTGATGACAAGTCAGCAGGTGTTTGTTTTTTGGGGTTTTTTTGTTGTGTCAGGAGCGACTAGACAAACTGCAAATCGCTTCTGGTGTGAGAGAATTGGTCATCTGCAAAGATGTTGCCTAGGGGATGCCCAGATGTTTTGATGTGTTACTATCCTTGTGGGAGGCTTCTCTCATGTCTGCACATGAGGAGCTGGAGCTGATAGAGGGAGCTCATCCACACTCTTCTTGGATTCGAACCTGCGACCTGTCGGTCTTCAGTCCTGCCAGCACAGGTGTTTAACCCATTGTACCACTGGGTGCTATAAAAGTTATAAAAGGTTATAAAAGGAAGATGAAATACTCACTCTTTCTTTTTTTCCTGTGTGAATTGCATAATGAATATCTCTGTGTATCTGAGCATCGTTTGCAAGTACAAGTCTAATTGTAGGTTGATGTATCCTGATTGTACAGTTGTAAATAGTGTAACACTGAAGATTAAAGCCTCCTGAAAGTTTTGGATGAAAAACTGAATGTGAGTTTACTAAACACTATCGTGTTTGAAGAAGGTCAGTCAGGGCAGTTGTACTCTACTGTGAATGGACTCTACTATGTTTTGGTTGCCTCTGTGGCATATGTTTGTCCAGTGTGCAGCAGTTTCAGGGAGGTTGTGATTGGAAAACTATAAATCACAAACCTATCCCGCGACCGAGGGTACATGAAAGCTATCTTTAAGTATCTGAAAGACTGTCTTACAGAAGGTGAAGCAAATACAAACCTATGGATTCAAATGACAAGAAAACCGATTCAACCTGAACATTAGGAAGGGACTTTTTATTGAAAGAGCTGTTTGACAGCAGAGGAGACTGTCCCAGAGCATGGAGGATTCTTCATGTTTGGAGGTCTCTAATCAGAGGTTGTAGAGGTCATCTTTCAGGAGTGCTTTAGTAGTGTATTCCTGTATGATAGAGGATGGACTCAATGGTCCCTGTGGTCTCTTCCAACTCTTCAGATTTTGTGAGTCCAGCTTTAGACTACACATTAGTTGGAAGTCATCACAATTATGATGCATGGGGGACTGTGGAAGTCATAGTCCCCAAAAGTACCTTTCCTGAGCTGTGGCTTGGGTGCCTTCAAATGGACTGGTGGAAGCTAACTCTTTGTCCCATGGTAGCTCCTCAAGAGTCCTTAAAATGTTATTTATTGAACAGGGACCATTTCAAATGGAATAAGTGAATATGAGAAGATGGGGAAAATTCCAACCCTGTAAGTCTGGTTTATTGCATCATAATTGCTTCCCAAGATGCTAGTGATTGGTTTAAACAGGCATGGATAAATTTGGGCCCTCTAGGTGTTTTGGACTTCCACAATTCTTAATAACATACCAGCTGTTAGGAATTGTGGAAGTTGAAGTCCAAAACTCCTGGAGGGCCCAAGTTTATCCATGTCTGTTTAAACCAATCACTAGCATCTTGGGAAGCAATTATGATGCAATAAACCAGACTTACAGCACCACAATAACAGAAACTCTCTTTTGTAGTAATTGCACTCTTGCAACAACAACAAAGTTCACAAAAAACTACCCTAATAGTGATGCAGCTCTCCCAAATGAGGATTTCCAAGATGTTGGAGAACAGTGGTAGTATTGATGATCTCTTCCTTGGAAATCAGGGAGGACGCATGACTTCAAGGTAGGTTTTGGGGTAATATCAGGAGATCTAACACCATCATTGTAGACCTCTGGTTCTCAACCTTCCTAATTCCACGACTCCTTAATAGTTCTTCATGTTGTGGTAACCCCCAACCATAAAATTATTTTTGTTGCTACTTCGTAATTTCATAATTTTGCTACTGTTATGAATTGTCATGTCAATATCGGATATGCAGGATGTATTTTCATTCACTGGACCAAATTTGGCACAAATACCCAACATGCCTAAATTTGAATACTAGTGGGGTGGGGGTGGGGAATTGATTTTGTCATTTGGGAGTTGTAGTTGCTGGGATGTATAGTTCACCTACTATCAAAGTGCATTCTAAACTCCACAAACGATGAAATTGAATCAAACTTGGCATACAGAACTCCCATGACCAACAGAAAATACTGGAAGGTTTTGGTGGGTATTGACCTTGAGTTTTGGAGTTGTAGTTCACCTATATCCAGAGAGCACTGTGGACTCAAAATTGTGATACATCTGGACCAAACTTGGTACAGATACTCTATATGACCAAATGTGAACATTGATGGAGATTGGGGAAAATAGACCTTGACATTGGGGAGTTGTAGTTGCTGGGATTTATAGTTCAGCTACAATCAAAGAGCATTCTGAACCCCACCAATGATAGAATTGTGCCAAACTTCCCACACAGAAAATACTGGCGGCCCCACTGACACCTCCTCGTGACCCCCCCCGGGGTCCTGACCCCCAGATTTAGAAACGGTTGTAGATGCTTTGTTATAGCGTGGCTTCCAACACAGAATGTGGGTTGATATTCCCAAATTTGATTATAATACAAAGTGTAAGGGTTAACTTATGAGTCCTTTAAAGAAAAGTCACACATTCTTTTAACAAAAAGTGAACACAGCAACCTGGATGGTAAAATAATGCTTTATTTTATGGATGAAGAAACACTACTATGCCACTCCTGGGCTCTCCGTCTACAAAAGTTTACAAACAGAGCAGGCTGTCAGCTCTCCTGGGTCAAATTCAGTCCAGTTCAAAAGATTATCGAAACCCAGATATGTAGCATTCACATGGTCTATTTGGCATTTGGCTGAAGAAAGCCATGTTATTCTGCGATTCCTGTTCATATAGATTCGGATGGACGGTAAATCATGAAAAGAAGAACAATGCAATGAGAACGTCCCCCCACCTTTTCTGGTTGGTTTTTAATCTCCCTTAATGATCTAATTACCAACAACAACCAACAGATTGAACCTAAAACAAAACAGAAATAGAATGAAGAAGACTTTTCAGATGATCCACGTGGTGTGTTGTCCTCGGGGATGGGGATTTTGAGCAACAGCACACTGTAAAAATGTAGAAATCTGCCACTGACATTCAAGCTGTCAAAAACCATCAGTAAAAGAAGCACACAATTGATAAAGAGTTTGGATGAATACTTTTTAAGGGGTCTTAATAAGCAAACAAGTGTTATCTCATGCATGCTGAACACAAAACATAAGAAATACTGGATCGGGGAGGGGCTTGACAAATCATAGACTTACATTCCTTTTATATACAACGAAATGAATTCTACAGTATTCATACTAGCTGTACATTTGGTCAGAATAATTTACAGGGAACAACAATAGCGGGGGGGAAAGTGCAAGGAGTTCAAAAAGGGTCAGGAATAGGATGGAGCTGTTTTGGTCTTTCCTCCAGGACTCTAAGGATGGGGGCTGTTGGGGAGGGGCATGTGTGTGTGTGTCCAGAAATTGCAGCCCCAACCCTAAATTTTCTTCAACACAATAATATTTGATACAAATATGCAGGTTGGTTAGCAATGATTATAATGCACACTGGATTGTAAAGGTAACACTTGCAGTTTTAGAATGATTACAATCAATAGAAGAAGCTGGATTGTAAAAGGGTAAGGAGAGACAGGCTTGATGGGGATTCACGTGCCATACAAAGAAGTTCATACATGAGGCTGGAAGTCCTATCCTCAGTCCTTGTAAACATTGACTGACTGGCCTTTTGGGGAGCCATTTCTTGTAATTCTCTGCACCTTTTATCCACAGGAATAACATAGAAATGTACTGTTTTCTACTGTTCTAAGTTAGTACAGTAGAGTCTCGCTTATTCAACCTTCGCTCATCCAACATTCTGCATTATCCAATGCAGTCTGCCTCCTGTCTGGATCCACAGCTGTTTGTCTAGGCAGCAATGTGCAGCGGGCCTCTCCGCATGCTGGGCGCCCACCGGGAAAGGTGAGATGCAGCCAGCACAGACTTTTCCCATCGGGAACAGCGACCGGCTTGCCCCTCCTGGCAGGCACCTAGAAAAGCAGGCCAGGATCAGGCAAGGGTTATCACCAGCAGTGATAACATCTACCAAACGAAAGGTTGCTACTTCGAAGCCCCAGGTTGGCATGAGCTGCCAACTATCAAGCCCAGCTTACTCTTGACCTAAGCAGTTTGAAAACAGCTTGTGCTGTAATTAGAGAAATTAGGTACCACCAAAACAAGTGAGGGAGGTATCTTATGACACCATAAAAAGAAAAGAAAAAGAGCAGAAAATGCTGGCAACCAAAAAGAAAAGAAGAAGTCCTGATGGCTCTTCATCATACAGGATGGAGCGACAGCACCCCCTCCCCCCATGGCCGGATTCGAGCGCAACCATCCAAAGATGCTGACGTCAACACAACACAGTTTGCCTCCTTTCTGTCTGTTCTGTCTTTGTCTGTCCAAACGGCGTTGAATGTGAGCCGTGTATGTGCACTGTGATCCGCCCTGAGTCCCCTTGGGGAGATAGGGTGGAATATAAATAAAGTGTCATTGTTATTATTACAATTTTTTTAAAAAAATCTAAAGTATTGTTATTATTAGCACAGTTTTTTAAAAATATTCACAGGACTGAACTTTTTACGGATTCAACTTCTGATGATGTTGTTACCATAAGTTCATTTCATGCAATTCTATCTTTAGTTGTAGTCAATTTTTTAGTAGTCAGTTTTCAATACATTGCGATGTTTTGGTGCTAAATTCGTAAATATAGTAATTGCTACATAATGTTACCGTGTATTGAACTGCTTTTTTCTGGGTTTTTTTGCAAAACACGATGTTTTGGTGCTTAATTTGTAAAATCATAACATAATTTGATGTTTAATAGGCTTTTCCTTAATCCCTCCTTATTAACCAACATTTTCGCTTATCCAACATTCTGCCGGCCTGTTTATGTTGGATAAGCGAGACTCTACTGCATTTTAAATTTTGTGGGGCAACAAGTAATGTACAGGCTTACTTTGCCTCTCGCCATCTAAACATTTGACAAAATATTTGATATCACAACGTGACATTCTTGATTCATGAAGTTGAGTCGCAAACCAACACTCACAAATTCCTGAGCACTGTAAGAAAGATATCGCAAGCAGGAACTTCTTCTAATGTCATCCCTTGTGTTCAAATATTTTGTTCTCCTTACCCAGAATACATTGCAGCGCTGAAGAATCAGTCCAGGGCTAAATTAAACAAAGGAAATCAAAAACTATATACAGAAATATTTCTTCTACACACAAAAATTTAATTAAAAGGTTAGTGTAACTACAGCAGGGATTTCTACAAAGGAAACCTTTGCTCAGCTGAGCGGTTCTGTAGTAAATGGTCACTCCTTTGAAAATGGAGACGACAATGGGGCAAACAACGCATGGATCGGTACGTCTGAAAAATAATTGTGCTATAATCTTTATTTCATGGTTGGTAGTTTTATCTGAGACAATGAGGCATTAACTAAGGGAACCCTAACACAGACAGATGGCGGGTTTTCATTCCTACAGCTCGAACCCTTTCGACGCAAAGGGTCTTTTTCAGAGTCATCTTAGGGGAAATCTCTTTCTAGGTCCAGTTTCCTGATTGAACATCTCATTCCAGAAGTCACTTTGTGGCAAGAAAGGTGATCAGATCCTTTTCTCTCTTCTTTTTTGTGTGTGTTTTGCTTTGCTTAAAACTCTGTTTGTTTTCAATGAAGTTCTGCTGAGTTCTTCATGCTGAAATGTTCTTCCATTTGGGGAAGAAAGGAGTCATGATCCTGTTCGAGCAGGCACACTGCTTTCCCTGTTTCAGTTTTGTTAAATACATGCTCATGTTAACACTCCTTTCTCCAAGGGGGAAAAACAGAGAGATTCAGTTGCATATTATTATTATAAACGGCCTTGTGCATCTCAGCACAAGCCCGAAGGGTTAATCCTCATCCTCATCTTCTTTCGTTACAACTACTGGGGCTTTGTCTTGTTCTATGAAACACTCCACAAAGAAATTGACCATGGACTTGTACAGGTGCTGCTCAAGGGACGGACTGTTGAAGTAATGGCCTTCGTCTGGGTATATCTGCAAAAGAATGAAGGGGGCAGTCAATAGTAGCAGTGCTTTTCTACCCAGATTTAGATGCATGCCACTGAGTAGATAGACGCAGACCTCTTGGTCTCCACACTTAAGGTCGACAGAGATAAATGGTTCCCAATCTGTGGTCCATGGACCACCAGTGGTCCACAAGAACAAAAATATGGCCCATAGCCTCACCATTACTACAGTGTTGACTGGAAACAAGAGCGACTGTTCTCATGAAACCCTCTTATAGTGTTGAGGCAACTGGGATGCCGGTATGGGAAAGGTTGACTACCCACAGAAGATTACTACTACCACATCAGCTCTAGATTATTACTTATGGTTTTCTGTGGGCGAACTGATGGTGACTACTGAATGGCATATGTTCTGCATCAGAAACTAGAGCTGATGTGGTCTGTCCAATACAATTTTCTGAATCAACACCCCCGATAACCAAACTGAATCAAAGTTGACCAAAAACTGATTTGTAACCCTTTTGGTACTAATGTTGGAGAGTGGTCCCTGGTCAAAGTGGTCCCTGGTCAAGTGGTCCTAGGTCAAAAAGTTTGGGAATCACTGACATAGATGGTCAATGTATGGTGTGAACTGAGATATGACAAAGAGACCCCACTAACGGTTGAAGGAGCATTTTGTGAGAAGAATCCTTTAACAAGTGGGAGATCCTAAAACCTCAATACAATCATCTTGATGGGTTTCAACTGAAGCATCAGATCTGCAGACAACGTTTGGGACCATCCAAAACCATCCAGTTTGGTTCATCTTTCTCAAAATCTATAATTAACTGATGATTGATCTATCTATCCCATCAATTCTATTCATATCTATCTATCCAATCTAGCTAGCTATCTATGCATCCATCTAATGTATTCTAGCTATGTTATCCATTTATCTTACTGGCATCACTCTCTCTATCTCCATCTAATCTATTTCATCTGTCTATCTTATGACTGTGGTATCATAAAGGCTAATTAAATGTAACCTGAAAACTCTTTCTCACCACAAGTTAGTTGACCTTGACCTTCCTATTGTGAATTATTAAGTGTTCCTTTCCAATGAAAGTCTTTTTCAGCAATGAACAATGGGATATTCCTAACAATCTCACATATTCATCAAGGTGGATATGTAAAATAAAGGTAACGGTTTTCCCTTGACATTAAGTCCAGTCGTGTCTGACTCTGGGGGGATGGTGCTCATCTCCATTTTTAAGCCAAAGAGCTGCCGTTGACTGTAGACACCTCCAAGGTCATGTGACCAGCATGACTGCATTGGTAGAAGCTGGGCCTAACAATGGGAGCTCACCCCACTCCCCCGGATTCAAACCGCCAAGCTTTTGGTCAGCAAGTTCAGCAGTTTAAGCCACTACACCACCGGGGGAGGGGGGAGGGGGGGAGGAGCCTTTATTGGAAAGTGTTCCTTTCCAATAAAAATCTTTTTCAACAATGAACAAAGGGGCATTCCTAACAATCTCACAAACTGGTCAAGATGGATATATAGTCATTATGAATTTAGTAAGCTTTCAAGTCAAGCAATTCTTGTGAGCTCCCTCATTCACTGATACCCCTGAATCACACACTTTTGCATCTGATAGAGGGAGAAATTTTGAAAAATCAGACTGCGTAGGTGTTCAGAGTCAAATGAATTTCGTTTTCCCACATGAAAAAGTATATGGCCAAACGTGTATTAAAACATTATTTTCAAAAAAGGCACTTAATATAATAATGTATTTTATACAGCAAATTTCACTGTTTTGTCTATGTCACCTTTAAAAGTGTTGTCAATCCCTTGTTTATGCCATAGGTACCATAGGTACCAACGTCAACATGGCAGTGATAGGGCCTTCAGTAAGGGTCATCCCTGCACCTCTCCAGTATTTCACACCCATGTGTTGCTACCAAACCACATATGACTTCTAGTTTTGATTGATCTGATTTTTGACTGTCCTCTCAGTTTAGCAATTTATGTTTTAGGAGCCATATGGTGTATATGATTGAGAGCCAGAATGGTGTAGTTACTACAATTTTGGAGACCAGGTTTTGAATCCTCACTCTGACATGGAAACCCACTTGGTGACCTTGGGCAAGTCATACTCTCTCAGAAAATAATGGCAAACTCCATCTGAATAAATACTGATAAGAAAATCAATGACGGAGTCACCTTAAGACTGCCATAAGTCAAAAACAACTTGAAGGCACACAACAGCAAACCAGGCCAATCTTTACACATCTCGGTTAGAGGCATCCCAAACAATTTATTGTTCACAGATTTGCAGTGAAGCATATGTGTATTGCTATATCACTTTGTATATTCTAAAAGTGTGCCATAAGCTTAACAACCGCATTTAGAAAAAAAATAGTGACAGCAATACATTACCTGCAAGCTGTAATTGGCCGCTGCCCTAATTAGGTGTGTAATGAGGTCAGCAGTGTGCTGAAAGTGGATTTTCTCTGTAAAATCAGAATAGGATCATTATCAGAAAGGTGAAATAAGTATTTCAGCCCTATAGAATTTGTTGAGTGCAGGGACTCAAGGTGGATGCTTACCATCAGCAGTTGCATGAATGATCAAAAACTTTTGGTCTTTCGTTGACCGAACTCTGTGTGCCAGTTTGGTACTCTGAGAAGATTAAAAAAACACAAGGGAAATTCCACATTATATTTTGGCATTGCAACCAAAAATCCTGAAAGAAACCCACATGGCATTACACTTATCCAGTATAGTCAACTTCAATTAAATCATCACCCAGGATTCACAAACCATTTATGTGCTGGTATTTCAGTAAAGCAGTTACAAATTTCCGAAAATGAACTTTTGTGAGGGACAACTCTCAGGCTGGATCTACACTGCCATACAAAATCCAAATTATCTGCCTTGAACTGAATTATATAGGGGTGTAAAAGGTAAAAGTTGTCCCCTGACATTAAGACCAGTCATGTCTGACTCTGGGGTGTGGTGCTCATCTCCATTTCTAAGCCGAAGAGCCAGCGTTGTCCATAGACACCTCCAAGGTCATGTGGCCGGCATGACTGCATGGAGCGCCGTTACCTTTCCGCTGGAGTGGTACATATTGATCTACTCACATTTGCATGTTTTCGAACTGCTAGGTTGGCAGAAGCTAGGGCTGACAGCGGAAGCTCATACTGCTCCCTGGAATCGAACCTGCGACCTTTCAGTCAACAAGCTCAGCAGCTCAGCGCTTTAACCTACTGTGCCATGGGGGGCTCCATATAGGAGTGTACACTCATATAATTCAGTTCAAAGCATATAATCTAGGATCAGATCCTGGGATATAGGGCAGTGTAGATCCAGTCTCAAATTACTGCAGCCTACTGAATTTGGGCAGAAATTTGGTCATAGAATGTTTTCACATACTATGACATGACTGGGCCGAAATGGTAAATTCCACCTTAGTTTTCCACATAGGGATATGATACACATGCTTGTTTCTAATTCACATTGAAGTGGATTAGCAGGGGTGGTGGGGAATAATGCATGCCCACAATCCACACAGAACCACATTAAACAGAGAAGACCTGTGTTTAAAAAAATCTGGAGAAATCAGAGTTCGGGTGAAAAATGCGCTGCAACAGATGGACACTTTTATATCCCAGGTGAGCAGAAAATGCAAGACTTGGTGAGATTTCCATGTGGTAAGCTGGTGTAGATGGCAACAGCACATAACCAAAAATCCCAGCCATTCTTGCACTCTGCACATGTGCTGCAGTGCATCTCTGCACCTACATGGGGGAAAATAGTGGAAAACTTCCAGCTGATGTCCCACCGAGCTGGAACATTATAGATTAATGTGAATGCCCTGGGAGAATTGTTCTGGGGCAACAAAGGCAAGCGGAAACTCTCCAGAAGGTAACTTTTTTTTTAAAAAAAACAAACTCTCTTTAGATTCCAGATTAAATGCTCGTGTAGAAGTGCCTTTAGATGCAAAAATTAGGTTTGCACCAAAGTTGCAGGAAAATGAATACTAGCCAATTTGAAGCCTATGGTTTATATTACTGTGATGACGCGTCAAGCCCCACTTGTATGTGAATGTACAGTTGAATTGTTTGGTTATCTATAGCTGTCAATCAATGTTGTTTTGCACTGGTTGAATTGCCTCCCCTGCTTAATTGTTTGGCTCCTTCCCTTCCTGGGGAGGAGGGCAGTGCTTTCCTTTTTTCATTCCACCATCAAACAGYTCTACAGATGGACATGAAAAAGACTTGGCTCTAAAGCCCTTGATCGAGTTATCTCTCATCACCARTTCTCAGGTTTATACCCTTGGGGCTCACACTGCATGCCCAGTTCACCCTGGACGACGTTGAGGAGTCTCAAGCACCTTCAAACCAGTCTTTTGGCATCAAGAGGAAGACTTTGTGCCTTCAAATATAGGCCATTGGACTGGGGTTGTGAYTGTTCCGACTTTCACAGCCATTGAGAAAAGAGGGAACTTGGAARGCTTCTCASCTAGRAAACTCCTTGGACCCAAGACTCCAGAGACTGTAATGTATGTTTCCTTTACCCCTTTGAATATCAAGTTTATGCCTAAGGAAGATAACTCATTGTGAACAATAAAACCTATTTTGAGTTATCTGTAGTGTCTTGGTCCTTGAGAGTTCCAGTTCTCTAAAGGAGGGCAAGAAGCAATCCCCTGGGGGAAAAGATGTCACGTCCATGTATCTTTCACCAAGAGCTATAGCACCAGGCGTGATGACACAATTACCATGGACATCCAAGTGTTGAGTTTTGTCTTGGTGGCTCTAAATCAGTGGTTCCCAACTTGTGAGCTGGGGTCCACTAGTGGGCTGCAAGACCTAAAATAACATCCATGGCTCTAGATGATTAAATGTGGTTTTCTGTGGGCAAGCAGATGGCGACTACTGGATGGCATATGTTCTGTATCAGAAACTAGAGCTGATGTGGTCTATCCAATGCAATTTTCTGAATCAGCACCCCAAATAACTGAACCAAATCTAAAGTTGACCAAAAACTGATTCGTAACCCTTTTGGTACTAATGTTGGAGAGTGGCCCCTGGTCAAGTGGTCCCTGGTCAAAAAAAGGTTGGGAACCACTGCTCAAATGCCTTTGCCTTATGGCATTGGATGGAGGATCTGGGCAGAGTTTGGAAAAGTTCCTTTTTTGACCTTAATGCCAGGAATCTGTCGGTCAGCATAGTTGGAGAATTCAGGGCATTGTAATCTGATAATGGAACTTTTTCAAGTTCTGGGGAGGGTCTTATCTATTATGAAACCCCTACCATGGAACACCCTTTTTCTTAACTTAGATTTAGGTCCCAGGTTTCAACAAACCATCCTAACATTTCAAGATACTAATAATGAAGTTACTTAACGCTGTTAGATAATTCCACATGCTGTTCTAAGTACAGTCTTCTCTCCTTTGTGCTTTTGTTTTTGCAATATTTCAAGCCACATTATGAATGTTTTGCTATACTGAAAAGAAAGGTATTTACATCTTAAGCAACAAAACAGGCAAATCAAACATGGCACATCATCTATGCCAAAATCTGCAGATGTCTTTTTAAGACTAGCAGTTTTAACTTATCCGGCTCTCCATATTTTTGGCTTTCAAGCAGCATTCATGTGGGCAGGACTATAAAGCGAAACAGCATCCTGTATCAGTGCTAAAAATAGACGTTTCTGCTGCCAGCGGAGTGATCCATGCCGTTACCTCATATGCTTTATTGTCAATCCCTTGTAATCCTAAATATCTTTCTGAAAAGGCTGAAGCTGAAAAGAAACAAAGAGAAACATGTTAGGTACTATTACTGGGATTACACCAAAGCTTCAGATAATGATAATGTTTAGAACGAAAGGCTTTCCTCTTTGGTTCACAAGATTTATTCAACATTTATTCTTTTTTAAAATACTGGATTTCCGATTCTCTAAAAACCTGGACAGATTAAGATGGTTTGTTGACAATGGATTGAAAACTCTGTCCATACCACTCTCAGTCAACTAAGATTGCATCTTGAGGGTTACCTGCTGCTGAGAATTATGCAATAATCTTCTAAGGCAGTGGTTCGCAACCTAATGCCGCAACCCCTTAGTATAGGTCCTCATGTTGTGGTGACCCCCAATCATAACATTATTTTCATTGCCACTTCATAACTGTAATTTTGCTACTGTTATGAATCGTAATGTAAATATCTGATATGCAGGATGTATTTTTAGTCACTGGACCAAATTTGGTACAAATACCCGATACGCCCAAATCTGAATACCGGTGGGGTTGGGGGTGATTGATTTCGTCATTTGGTAATGCTGGAGTTGCTGGGATTTATCATTCACCTAAAATCAAAGGGCCTTCTGAACTCCACCAATGATGGAATTGAATCAAACTTGGCACACAGAATTCCCATGACCAAGAGAAAATACTGGGAAGGTCTGGTGGACATTGATCTTGAGTTTTTGGAGTTGTAGTTCACCTACATCCAGAGAACACTGAGGAGTCAAGCAATGATGGATCTGGATCAAACTTGGCACAAATACTCAATATGCCCAAATGTGAACACTGGTAGAGTTTGGAGAAAATAGACTTTGCCATTTGGGAGTTGTAGTTGTTGGGATTTATAGTTCACCCACAATGAAATAGCATTCCGAACCCCACCAGCGATAGAATTGGACCAAACTTTCCACACAGAACCCCCATGACCAACAGAAAATACTATACTATGTTTTCTGATGGTCTTTGGCGACCACTCTGACACCCCCTCGCGACCCCCACAGGGGTCCCGACCCCCAGGTTGGGAAACACTGTTCTAAGGCCCCATCTACACTGTCATATAATTCAGTTTGAAACTGCATTGTATGGTCAGTGTAGATTTATATAATGCAATTCAATGCAGTTCAAATTGCATTATTTGAGTCTACACTGACTACATAATGCAGTTTCAAACTACATTCTCCACTTAGAGCTGTGAACTAAAAAGAACTGACTGGAAAAAGATGGAGTGCCTTCAGAGTAGAATGGATGTTGCAAACCCTCTTAGGATGCCAGGCTGAAAGTTTCAAACAACTCCTCTGCCTTTAATAGTTGTGTAGAATTTCAACAGGTGTTGCTGACTGCGTGATAAGCAACACATAGCAGAAATTCCCACATCTGCACAACAATTAAAAGTACAGAAATGGTCTCCAGTTTTCACTTACATCCTCCAATATTTCACAGGGCATGTGTGGCTAAGCAACATCAGAGTATGATCAAGGTGAAATATATTGATGGGGAAGAACAGACAAGCTAGACAAGTCTAAAGGAGGGTTATTTACATTATCACTGCTAGTTATGGATGAAACCATGCAGGGCACAGAAAACTCCATCCATTCAAGCCAAGGATCCACCGTCTCCATTATTGAGATTTCACTGTTTGTGTGCTTCAGACTGCAGAAAACATATTATATGACTTTGCATCTACTGATCTGATGGAATCTGTATTTACCATATAACCTGAAATCTGTTAGTGGTGAAAGTGCAGCACCGCACTGGAAGAGTGGCTCCTTATTTTCTTCTCCAGCAAGAAGTATGTAAGAGCTCAAGTAACCTCCATAATCCTGAAAGGTAAGAAGAGAAAGTAAGAAGATGAGGGCTCGGCAGGGAACAGTATTGTTCTCGGTGCAATGGGTTAAACCCTTGTGCTGGCAGGACTGAAGACCAACAAGTCAGAGGTTCAAATCTGGGGAGAGCGCTGAAGAGCTCCCTCTGTCAGCTCCAGCTTCCCATGCAGGGACATGAGAGAAGCCTCCCACAAGGATGGCAAAACATCAAAACATCCGGGCATCCCCTGGGCAATGTCCTTGCAGACGGCCAATTCTCTCACACCAGAAGTGACTTGTGGTCAGAGTGGTATATAAACAGATATATAAACCCAATTTTCCTAGTTCCAACAGACCTCACTACCTCTGAGGCTGATTGCCATAGATGCAGGCGAAACGTCAGGAGACAATGCGTCTAGAACATGGCCATACAGCCCGAAAAAACCTACAACAACCCAGTAAGTTGTAGTTTCTCAAGTGACATGAAAAAAAGTATTGTTCTAGAAGTGGCTGCCATCTGGCTGAATGCCTTTCAATAAACATAGGTTATTTTCCTTATTTTATTCATTTATATAATGCCTTTCTTCCAATAAAGAGACTAAATGAGGTATACAACATATTTAAAACTGATTACACACACACACACAAAAACATCAACATAATTTTAATATAGAAAATATTTAAAAGACGATTAAACAATATATAAGGTGATGAAATAAATTGAAAGGCAATATAAACAACAAACATAGCCACAGAACATTTTTAAAAGCCCACCCCATTCAGTTTCTAAAAGTCTGATGACACAAGAATTTTGAACTGGTTGGAGGAAGAAGAGCAAGAATGGGGCCGTCCTGATCTCTCCACTTCCAAAATCTTGGAGCAGCTGCCAAAAAAGCTCTTGTTCCCACCAAACACACATCAGAAGATGGTGGGACAGAGAGAAGGGCATCTCCATAAGATATCAGAACTCTAAAAGCAAATGTAGTCCTTTCAATAATTTAAACCAAGCTATGTAGAGCTTCTTGAGTCATCATTGGCACACTGACTTGTGCCCAAAAATGAACTGGAAGCAATACAAGATACCTCTATATGCCAGGGAACAAACTGAAGGGGCTTGTTTGGCACTCTCTCGACATTAGAAGATATAGCTTATTTGCATACAGGAAGGGTGTTCCCATGGTAGAGAATCTTCCTAGCTAAACAAAAAAGATCATGGGCTAAAATCAAGTGGCCCTCTTGATATTGTTGAACTGTGACTATCAGCAGTCCTAGCCAGGATTGTCAGATATGTGGACCATTAGGATGTGCAGTCCAATAATATCTGGAAAGCCTCATGATTGCCACTAATGCCTTGAATTCAGTTGCTGTTGCCACTGAATGGGAAGTCAACACTTATGGAAGTCCCAATGATTCAATAAGATTACTGTAGTAAGGAAATAACAATTTGGTTAGGCTTGATTTACAAATTTGCAGAAAGGAAGAACCACTCTAATACATTAATTGAAACTAAATCCAGATTGAAACTAAATCCAGACAAGACAGAGGTCCTCCTGGTCAGTCGAAAGGCCGAACAGGGCATAGGGTTACAGCCTGTGCTTGACGGGGTTCCACTCCCCCTGAAGGCACAGGTTCTCAGCTTGGGAGTGATCCTGGACTCATCACTGAGCCTGGAACCCCAGGTCTCGGCGGTGGTCAGGGGAGCTTTTGCACAATTAAAATTTGTGCGCCAGCTGCGCCCGTACCTTGGAAAGTCTGATCTGGCCACGGTGGTCCAAGCTCTGGTTACATCCCGTATAGACTACTGCAACGCTCTCTATGTGGGGTTGCCTTTGAAGACTGCCCGGAAGCTACAACTAGTCCAACGAGCGGCAGCCAGACTACTAACAGGAGCAGGGTACAGGGAAAATACTACTCCTCTGTTACGTCAGCTCCACTGGCTGCCAATCAGTTTCTGAGCACAATTCAAAGTGCTGGTGTTGACCTATAAAGCCCTAAGTGACTCCGGCCCAATTTACCTGTCTGAATGGATTCTCCCCTATGAACCATCAAGGTTATTAAGATCTCTTGGCGGGGCCCTGCTCTCGGTCCCACCACCCTCGCAATCGCATCTGGTGGGGATGAGGGACAGGGTCTTCTCGGTGGTGGCCCCTCGGCTGTGGAACTCTCTCCCACTGGAGATTAGAACTGCCCCTTCTCTCCTGACCTTTAGAAAGCTGGTGAAAACTTGGCTCTGGAACTTAGCATTCGATGAGTGAGTCAATAACTCTTGACCACATGGACAGATGGTGATGAATTGTGATTTCATTCTGATGACTTGGCCTTATGTAATTATATGATTGTATTTTAATGTATTTTATGTATTAGTGCATTATGTGATGTGATATTTTAAACTATTGTTTATGAATCTTTGTTGTGAACCGGCCTGAGTCCCTCTGCGGAGGTCGAGAAGACCGGTATATAAAAGTTCTAAATAAATAAAAAATAAATAATTAATCAGGCCAGGGATATGCATGCAAATGTCTGATTTACATAACCAAAGGTCCTTAACCCCTAGATTCAATGCTTTTTGAGCACATAGTTGCTATAGCTACAGCTATTTTTTAATGGATTGGCACCACAATAGTGCACTTGTTCAGTGCTTACATCTTGAGAACATTATGAGAATGTGGTCCTCCACCCACCACCCACAATGTTTCATTGCATTGGTGCTTAAAAAGACACATCCAAAGTTCATGAATATGCACAACATGGAACCTGGCCAAATTCTCATCCCTGTTCCATGGCAAAAAAAAAATAATACTCTAGTGGATCTCCCAAGAGAAAAAAAACAAAACACCCCACTTGACAGCAACATGAACATGGTCAAGACACAACAGAGGTGTGTCACCAAGGTTTGGGGTGGAAGTTATAGCTATGAGGTATGTCTTCATAGCTTTGAAGTCTGATGCAACATTTCAGCCAGTCTATTCAAAAGCAGATATGGTGTTTAGATACTCCAGGTTTTTTAATTGTTCTCTATTGGTATTATTGTTCTCTAGAGGTGCACGACAAGGTTCTTACTGCAGTTAACTACTCCTACTATGTTGCTACCTTTTACTATTGGGATGGTCTACTGCAGGCCTGGGCAAACTTCAGTCCTCCAGGTGTTTTGGACTTCAACTCCCACAATTCCTAACAGCCTACCGGCTGTTAGGAATTGCGGGAGTTGAAGTCCAAAACACCTGGAGGGCCGAAGTTTGCTCATGCTTGGTCTAAGATGACAACAGAGCCAGCATAGTTTGGGTTGATCTTCCATGTCCTCTTAACATATAGATTTGTTATACCTCCATCACCCCTGGCTTAAAACTAATTACAGTATGATATCCGTATCCCAGTAATCTGAGAACTAACATTAAAATGAAAGAAGATGATAATGGAAAATCCTCAGTGAGAAGCTTTCTGAGAAACAAGAAATATGCGTCTCTTTCAAGACAGGAGTTACAAGAAAATGAAGACTGACATTGTGATTAAAAATCTCAGAGCTCTCATCCTTTGAAGCAACAAGGAACATGATGTTGTTAAAAAGGGAACCATAATAAATCATAGTCAAACACAGTCAATCTATCAAGACCCAGATCTCAATTCTTAAGCAAACCAGAGTTGAAGGAAGCGATTGCAAAGGTACTCACCTTTCCAAACACACCAACACGCGTGCTGTCAATAAATGTATTTTGCAGCATTTTCCTACAAGAAAAAGAAATACATAATTATTCTAATGAGTTGCCTTAAATATAGTAACTGACAAATAGTAATGGTAATGCTGCCCAATAGTAATAATAAAACTTTATTTATGTACTGCTCTATCTCCCCGAAGGGGACTCAGGGCAGTTTCTAAGCAACATCACCAAAACATACAGGGTAAACAGCATAACATAAAATTAACAAAACAACATAAGCATAAAACTATCACAAAAACACATATATTAAAAATAATCCTGCCCAAATTTCAGTTGAGTATATAATGATAAGATCATCAGGTTAATAATTTGTTTGTTGGCATGCATGAGTTGAACCTTCTCCAATCCGGATGTATTTGCACCACAACCCATCCCATCAACCCCAGTCATGTTGATTGAGGAGAAATGAGACCATAGTCCAATTGATGTCGGGTACCAGGAAGGCAGCTTAAGCTGATCTGGAATTGTCCATATTGTTTTCATGGAAAAGTAGAAATAATTTTGGGAGGAAAATTCTCTTTTTTGGATTGGAATTTATCAAAATGAACATTCATATTTCAGGAAATTGTAGTCAAGAGCAGATTTTCCAAGCTCCGCTGAGATTATGCACCGGAGGCTATGATGTGTAACCTTATACTGATGGATTTACATTGCCGACATGACATATAATCTAGCAATGTCTATTATGAATTGTAGTGATGCACAATGGAGAACTGTGCAAGTTGTTTGACTGTGCAATCTTTGACTGTGCAATCTTGACTGTGCAGTGTTGATTTATAAAGTATCTCATGGTGAAGAGGTACATTTGTGCAATAAGCATATTGGTGCAATGGTCCTGGAGGTGTAGCTATACTTCTTCTCCCTTCCTGAAACTATACAACATCACAATTCACCTTTATGTAATTGTAAATCAGATTATAATGATAAATATCTAACAAAATGTCATTATTTGAAAAAAATACAATTACAAACAGAATTTTCTTGCAAAAGGACTATAGTATTCACCGGACAGCTTCTGTTTGGTCCTTCTCTTCGAAAAGGCCCAGCTTTCTTTTAATGTCATGGAGCAGCTTGGTCCCTTGGAATCCGCTTCCACGTCCATCAAACTTCATCACAATGGCACCATGAGAACTGACCATCACGCTTTCCCAGTTCACTTCAAATTTGTCTGTTACACTCTGTGCGCCAGGTGTTCCATCACTGAAAAAGGAACAAACAAAAGAATCTCATCATTTCATATCTAGGAACAGAATAGGATGATGAGCAAGCCTAACCAATGTGAAGAGAAAGATTATAGTTTGGTGGTGAAGCACAAGCAGACAGAGTTCGGAAAAGAGCTATTTTTGGACAATAATTCCCTGAATTGTCCACTTGGCATTACTACTGACATACTTTGCATGTAGATTTTAGGTTCAATTCCTGGTATCTCCAGTTAAAAGACTGAGTAGCAGATTATAAAAGAGGAGCAATTCCCAGAGACCTCACAACCTCTGAGGATGTCTGCCATAGATGCAGGCAAAACGTCAGGAGCGAATGCTTCTAGAACATGGCCATACAGCCCAAAAAACCTACAACAACCCAGTACTTCCCAGAGATCCTATAGGTACCACTTCCAGCCAGAGGAGATATCACTGAGCAGAGAGGGCAAAAGGTCAGAACTATCTATCTATATATATAAATGCTCTGTGCATAATGAGTACCTTAAAAACAAAAGAACCAATGAACGAAATCACACCAAATTTGGCAACAAAACGTCTCACAATACAAGGAGTGACCATCACTCAAAAATTATGATTTTGTCATTTGGGAGTTGTAGTTGCTGGGATTTATAGTTCATCTACAATCAAGAGCATTCTGAACTCGTTGGTGAACGATGGAATTGAACCAAACTTAGCACACAGTACTCCCCTGACCAACAGAAAACACTAGAAGGGTTTGGTGGCCATTGACTTTGAGTTTTGGAGTTGTAGTTCACCTACATCTAGAGAACACTGTGGACTCAAACAATGATGGATCTGGACCAAACTTGGCACGAATACTCAATATGCCCAAACATAAACACAGGTGGAGTTTGGGGGAAATAGACCTTGACATTTGGGAATTGTAGTTACTGTGATTTATAGTTCACCTACAATCAAGGAGCATTCCAAACCCCAAACATCCCACACAGAACCCCCATGACCAAAAGAAAATACTTAAGGCCATCGTGTCCAACTCCCTTCACCAGGGCGGTAATCAAAGCCCTTCTGATAAAGAGCCATCCAGCCAGAGATATAGATAGATATTAGGCCTGGGTAACAACGCAAAAATTTGTTTCTAAAATCGATTTGTATTTGGGGGGGTTTTGCGTTTCGATATTTAAAATAATTACAAAATTTCCTTTAAAAAAGTCCAGTATTTACGAAATTTCGTTAATATTAACGAATCGATTCGTTAAGATGGCATGCGCAAATCACCTCTGAAACTTCGTTATGAAGACGGGGGTCGATTCGTTAAGGTGGCAACGAATCGATTCGTTAAAAAAGAAATATTTATCAGAAATATTTAAAAATGGAAAATTAACAATGCTTGCCCTGTTGTGGAGCGAACACAGCCACAGGACAGGGACAAACTCACACACACAGGCACACAAGTCTTTTCTTTTTTTAGAATATTTTTTGAATTTTTTGAAGAATAAAAGAAATATATTTTCCAGAAATATTTAAAAATGGAAAATTAACAAAATGCTTGCCCTGTTGTGGAGAAAACACAGCCACAGGACAGGGACAAACTCACACACACAGGCACACAAGGGTCTTTTCTTTTTTTAGAATATTTTTTGAATTTTTTTAAGAATAAAAGAAATATTTTTCAGAAATATTTAAAAATGCTTGCCCTGTTGTGGAGCGAACGGCAAAGCCTCCCCGCTGCTCCCAGCCCAGGGAATGAATGAATGCAAGCAATGAATGAATGCAAGCCAAGCCTCCCTCCCGAACCTCCCGTCTCCTCGCCTTCCCCAGCAATGAGCAATGCGGCCACGCGGAGCCGCTTTTAAAGGGCAGCCCGCCCAATCACAATCAGCCACGGTGCTTGGGAGCGCAGGATTGGCTCCCAGCGCACCCAGCATCCTCCATCCCTAAAACGTCATTTCCGAAACGGGCGGAAGCCCGTAAAAAAGATGGAGGATGCCGTTTCGATATTTAAAAACACTTCCGGGTTTGAAAATATGTTTTGTAATCGTTTTGTAATTGCTAAAAATAACGAATATTTAACGAATTACAAAATTAACGAACGAAACCGCCCAGGCCTATAGATAGATTTATATGATTCACACACACACAGGTATAGTATCATAGATTTGAAAGGAACCCCTAAAGAAGGACAATGATATGTTGCATATTCCCGAGTAGGGAAACCAGACACTCTCCACATCGACACTGACAAAGAAACAACAAGAAATACTGTTTACCCACAAGCATAAAGAAATTACATATATTAGAAACCAACACTTTCTCATTACTTTATTTTCCAGATCACCAGACTGGGCCACAGCAACGCGTGGCAGGGGATGGCTAGTTCCTTATATTAATTCTTTTGTATGAGTGATCTTGTGTCCCCTCTCATACATCTGAATGACCCAGAAAGGGGGGGGGGGGTCTTGTGTCCTCCCATGATGGTAGTTAACATGGAGTCTCACTGGCTGAGACAGAAAAAAACCTAAAGAGATTATGCACCAGGGATGGAAAGAATATTCAAAAGCATTTTGCAAAATTTCAAGTGTTGATAAATTCTGATGAGAAAAATCCTGGACTGAATGAACATTTCACAGTTTGGAACTTCTACTGTGCAAACTTTGCACATGGTAGTTTTGTGTAGAAAACAGCACACTCTATGCAGAAAACAGCATTTTCTGCATGAAGAATATTTCAAGACAGAAATATTAATTCCTGCACAAAAAAATGTTTCATTTGCAGACTTTGCTGCATGGGAAATTGTGTTAGGGCATGTAATAAATTAGTTGGTGAGTGTGTTAACTGGAAAATGCAAAGCAGAAAGCTGATTGGTTGTGCCACACCCGGGGAGCTAGCTGAGCCTGGGAGTTTTGGCAATAGTTACATATTTTAAACTTGAGCTGTGCAGGAGCTCAGAGACAGTTTTTGCTTCATGAGCTGCTAGAAGGAAATCTGCCACAATGACAACAAAAGACTATTTAAATCTCTCTCAAAAGAAATTGTGTGAGTAAACGCAACTGTTCACATGATTGTATACATATTGCTCTGCATTACAAAGAATAAACTACTCGTTCCTTACTGATCATCTGCGTTGCCTATTTTCTTTCTCTGGCAAGACAGTGTGTGGACTGTTAAAACGTGAACTATGCATGATATTCATTGCACCACAACTCACTCTGCATACAATTAGCACATATCTAATTTGCACAGTAAATAGCATCTCTGGCAAAGAAAACAGAATTTCCGGACACAATACTTCTGCATCATAATATTGTTTACCATGCAAAACTGCTGTTTCCCATGTAGAAAATTATGTTTTCTCTGCAAAACAAGCATGTGCAAATTTTGTACAGAATAGTCTTAAATTGTGGATGGTGTGCATGGTTTCTAAATCCTTTTTTTCTGCTGTGGAAAACAATTTTTGAAACTACTCATTGTTATATTTGGGAAGAAATTTAGTGAAGAATAACATCTCTATTTGACAGAAATGCCAGGAACTTACAGGGTCTCCCAGTTGTCTAATTTAGGAAGGAAGCATTGACATTTTATGATAAGAGTCAGACTTATCTGTTCTTTTGCACAGATGCTGCAACACAGATAAAGCAATACTGAGGGATTCTCAACATGCTTCCTTGTCAAGCCAAGCTGTCAGGTTTTAATTTCTTGAGGGCAACTCTAGCCACAGGCCACACTAAGAAAAATGCAGATGACCTGCTTCAGATTTTGAAAGACAATGGATGGTGTCTCTAGTAAAGCCAGTATGATTGTCAGAAGTAATTTCCTTCCATTATTTTTCATTGCTATCTCTCTTCACCCTGAAAACGTGCCCCAAGGGAGGAAACAAAACCAAATTACAATAAAAGGCATGTAGCTGTCTATCAAAGCCGCTCCTTCCAACATCATCATTATGACAGAGTGTATCATAAAAGCCTGTCTGCATTTTGAGGTTTTGAAGGTTTTAACAACTAGAAGTACTCAATACTAAACTGATAAGTAAATAGAAAAAGGCTTGTGGTGCATCTGAAATTACGGAAGCAAATAAAATGCTTTTCTTTTATAATGCTCTTTCTTTTACACTGATGCAATCACAGTGCTTAAACAAATTTACTTTTTTAGAGATTTTGCTTTAAAATTTAGCAGGAGTTCTTTTTATAAAATATTGTGCAATTATGACACTTTCTGGTTAAGAGGAAATTACTTTAATTGTTCCTTTAAATATTGCAAGACACTCTACCACTTATTTTTACCAGATGTGCTTTAACATCAAGAACTAAGTACTTGAAGAAAAATGTGATGTTAATGTTCTGGGAATGTCTCCTGAAGTTATCCAGAACCTACCTAAGATCTAATCAAACTGGCATCTCTTCCTGCAAATGTGTAGAGTTTAGATCGTTCGATCATCTGGGTAATTAGATGAGGGGGGAATAATAAAAGAATCATAGAGTTGGAAGAGACCTCATGAGCCATCCCCTCCAACCCCCTGCCAAGAAGCAGGACAATCGCATTCAAATCACTCCTGACAGATGGCCATCCAGCCTCTGCTTAAAAGCCTCCCAAGAAGGAGCCTCCACCACACTCCTGGGCAGAAAGTTCCACTGCTGAACAGCTCTCACAGTCAGGAAGTTCTTCCTCATGTTCAGGTGGAATCTTCTTTTCTTTAGTTTGAATCCATTTTTCTGCATCCTAGTCTCCAGGGCAGTAGAAAACAAGCTTGCTCCCTCCTCCCTATGACTTCCCCTCACGTATTTATACATGGCCCTCATCATGTCTCCTCTCAGCCTTCTCTTCTTCAGGCTAAACATGCCCACCTCTTTAAGCCGCTCATCATAGGGCTTGTTCCCGGACCCTTGATCATTTGAGTTGCCCTCATTGGCTTTGCTGGCTGGGATAGCTAGGAGCTGCAGTTTAACATCATCCTGAGAACCATGCAATTCCCATCTGATATATGAGCTTAAAGGTTAAGCTAGCACTGTAAACTAAGGGCCAACAAAGACAAAGTTAGGTTGCCTTAGATGGCAACCAATCCTCTTGAGTTACTTGGCCTTCCCCTTGAATGGAAAAAAGAGCAGTGTTCATCACATTGCTTGCTTTCACACTTCTAACCAGTGCTTCTAAATGTATCTTGTCAGATCACCAATTTTCACTCAATGGGCCAAAACCAATGTCATGTTTCTGCCACATTATTATCACATTTTCATTGTTCTTGGAAATTTGCTATAGACCAGCAAACAATGGCTGGCAAATTGATACCACTTTGAATAGCAGTGCTCTAAACAAATAATTCTCAAGTTGTTTGACAAGATATGTTCCTCCTCCATCCTAAATTGCACCCTATTTGCTCACATTTACTACAAATGTCTCTATCTTGGAAATGTCTGTCCTGGACTTCATAGATTGGTACTGATCCATGGAATACCATGTTGAACAGCACTGCCTCAAACTAATGACTTCAAATCCTGGAACTTCAAATACTTTAAACTCCAGTATCCAGAGGAGTTCCCAGATAATATGGCCAATCCTCAGAAATTTGGGTGCTGGTGCCTCAAACATTTGAAGGACCAAAAATTGAGGACCACACCTTCAAACCAGTGCTTCTCACAGTGGGGGTTCCTGACTGATGTTGATCCACAAACCACTGGATGTTGGTCCATGGACAATTTCCAAGAGTGGAAGATGCAGTTGTAGCCAATGTGCACAAATATAGTACCAAAACCCAACGGACTGGAAAAAGATAATTTCTGTTTCTCTATGTCTGTGAGCATGAGAAAAACTACTATAAATCACTATGCTGTCCTCTAAGGACAATGAGGATTCAATCTTATTTAAACAAGATTCAGCTGCTATTTCAGTTTGTTTTTGCCCCCACCCCAGTTGCCTTCTCTTCCTCAGAAAGCAAAATATTTTGACTGGCTGACCACAAAATGCATGTTCCTGTAAGAAGCCACATAAAAGCTACAAGAAAGGATAGGGAGTTTGGCCAGAATAGTTTGCAAGAAGAAAAGAACAAGATGAAGGCACCCAAGCTACACATCCTCAGCCCATTCCTATCCCTTTGGCAGTGAGACAAGAAATCCCTTCCAGCTTGGCTCTGTGCTGTGAGTGTAGGATTTCGTTCCTTCTCCTCATGTGTGACTTGGCTCATTTGCATTCGTGCAACGCGCACACCCCAGCAGCGCATCCTCATTCAGAGCCGGCCTAATCAAGTGTTGTTAGCTTGATGAGTAGCAATCTTCCTCAAGCACTTGTATAATGAAACACATTTCCCCAGAGATCGTCCCGATGTGATGTAACTGCAGGCTTCATGGCAGAGCTTTTGTCCTCCCTTCCAGCGAGCTTCAGGGTGACATTTTGGAATGCTCCAGCAATGTCACCGCTCTCCCTTTCGCTTGCCAAGAGAAAGAAAGCCAAAGCAATGCAAAACACCACCACCACATACTTTGATGTCTTCTCTTTTTAGCCTTGCTTGCTTTGCAAAGGTTCAAGGTCACATCTAGGAAGAGTTGGAACAGGTTGGCCAAAATAACCTTCCTTCAGATTGAAATCATTCCTAAATCCTAAGGAGCGGTTGTTTATCAGAGCTAACACTACTGGGGTAGATAGACCTAGGAATTATGGACTGGAATTCAGTATGGACTTAGGTCCATATAAATGGACTTGTATCTGCCAGAAATAGAACAGAGGAATTTCATAATGGGATGCTAGGAGTTTATTACCAAGGGAGTCAGTGAAATGAGTGTTGTGTGTCAGGACAATGGTGAGGGATTGCCAATGTCAATCAGTAAAGCAAGGCATTGGTAGGCAGTGCCAATGTGCATTGCTAGAGTCTGATCTATCAGGACACTGGCTAGAGCAGGATTTCTCAATCTGGGGGTCGGGACCTCTGTGGGGGTCACAAGGGGGTTTCAAAGGGGTCACCAAAGACCATCAGAAATACATGTTTTCTGATGGTGTTATGAACCCCATTGGTAGAGAAGGCTGAAGATCTCTCCGCCTGTCCTTCTTTTCCTTTTTGGGAACAGACTGCAGATCCTTCCTCCAAAAGCCCTCTTTCACTGTAATTGGCCAGCCTCTCAGCCAAGGGGAGAGCTGTTTCTGAGACTCCAAGTGGGGAGAGGAGAGCAGGTGTGCTTGCCAAATGGCAGTGTGGTGCACATGTGAAGGCGAGGGAGAGTGTGCGAGGCTGGAGGGAGGCTCATGCCAGCGAGTCCTTTCAAGGCATGGGGATTCTGTGTGGGAAGTTCGGCCCAATTCTATCATTGGTGGGGTTCAGAATGCTCTTTTATTGTAAAGGTAAAGATAAAGGTAAAGGTTTTCCCCTGGCGTTAAGTCCAGTTGTGTCTGACTCTGGGGGTTGGTGCTCATCTCCATTTCTAAGCTGAAGAGCCGGCATTATCTGTAGACACTTCCAAGGTCATGTGGCCGGCATGACTGCATGGAGCACTGTTTGATTGTCGGTAACCATAAATCCCAGAAACGACAACTGCCAAATGTCAAAGACTTTGCCCCCATAAAGTCCACCAGTGTTCACATTTGGGCATATTGAGTATTCGTGCCAAGTTTGGTCCAGATCTATCATTGTTTGAGTCCACAGTGCTCTCTGGATGTAGGTGAGTGCCAACTCCAAAACTCAAGGTCAATGCCCACCAAACCTTTCCAGTATTTTCTGTTGGTCATGGGAGTTCTGTGTACCAAGTTTGGTTCAATTACATTGTTGTTCAGAATGCTCTTTGACTGTAGGTGAACTATAAATCCCAGCAACTACAACTCCCAAATGACAAAATCAATCCCCCCCAACCCCACCAGTATTCAAATTGGGGTGTATTGGGTATTTGTGCCAAATTTGGGCCAGTGAATGAAAATCCATTCTGCATATCAGATATTTCCATTACGATTCATAACAGTAGCAAAAATACAGTTATGAAGTAGCAACGAAAATAATTTTATGGATGGGAGTCACCACAACCTGAGAAACTATATTAAGGGGTCACGGCATTAGGAAGGCTGAGAAACACTAGGGAGTACCAATTTGCATCAATATAGCCAGCCGTGCATTGGGCATTTTTGCATCTTTGCAATTCATTAGGATGGATCCATAGCACCTCTGCTACACAGCCAAGTATATGACGTTACCCAATGCAGACCACAAAATAGAATCATAGTTGTAGTTGGTTTCCAAAGCCCTGACCTTCCCACATATGAGACATTTCTTTGAGTAACAAGCATAGTGTAATCTCAGCTGGGTGTTTGCATACACCAAGAAAATGAATAAAATTACTCACACAACTAGAAGCAATGGGTAGTGCATGTTTTCAGTGAAGATCGCTGGCTTGGAGACTTGAATCAGCAACTCTAGTTAAAGGCAACAAGAGAAGAGAGCAGTGTGAGCTGTGCATGAGCTGGAACGCAATGGGAATGAAATGACGTTTGACAAAATAGGCTGGCAAATTACATGCTAGCAGAATATATACTTCCAAAGACAAGGCCGGCACTGTAATAACAAGGATGACAAGAGATCCAGCACAAGGGCACTATAAGAGGCACAGTCGTGTATCAAGCATGTAATTAGTGGCTGCTGATATGTATAATTTCTCCCTTTAGGCAGGTGGATGAGTAGCCTAGTGTGGCAAACCAATATTTTGGAAGCCCAGGGGAGAGGGAAAAGGGAAGAAAGGAGCAACGTGAAATGAGAATGCCCCATGGTGAGCAGCAGAAGAATAAACCCTTGCCTTGGGGGTTTCAAAACAAAAGGTCCTCACTGTGCATTCTAAACTCTGAGGGTTTGATTGCAACCTGTCTTGACTCACAGAATAAAATATTGGGTAAAAGATGTAATTGGGTGGATCAAATCAAAGAGAACATTTCTGGGAACTGTCAGCAGAAAGAAGGTGTGCCCGAGAACTACATTAACTCAGGCTTTGCTTTACCTCGAATGTGTTTTGGTGCGCGATGCGGGAGGAGCCTCTTCATGACTTCATTTGTTTCCAAAATGTTAACCACCTTTCCAATTACCCAAAGCATGGCAATTAAATATAGCTTTAGAAGCATTTTCGGGGCTGTTAATAGCAAGAGGAGTCAATGTGTGTAAGTGGCTCGCTGGGTGATCTTTTCACAATACTTTTGGCCTAATTAATTATTCCATCAGACAGGCTAATGGATGGCTGATGGGATCATTAGTCCCAGGACACAGCAGCCTCTGGGCTCGAAATATATACAAAACAATGAAGGAGATTGGACTGCAGCAGAAACAGAGAAGGAAAGTGAGAGAGGGTTATGGCGTTACTGCTGATTTATATTGGTGACCCTTTGAATTAGCACCATGATCCCATTTTAATTGCCATGGCTCTATCCAATGAAATCTTGGGTTTTGTAATTTGATGAGGCAGTAAAGCACTCTGGCAGACGATTCACATTTTTCTCTCTCCCTAAACTCCAAATCTTAGGATTTCATAAGGTGAAAGAACAGTTAAAGTGGAAACACGGTGTTACAATTATATACTGAAAAGGGCTCCAAGGGCCACTTTTTAAAATACAGACAGTCCCCAACTTACAAATGGAATGGAAGTAAGGGAAATCTGCCCCTTGGAAGGGAAATCAATTCCTGGAAGAGTTGTCATGGGGGAAAATGGTTTCCACTGAAGCTTTATCACCAATCCTTGTTTCCACAGCAAGCCAGATTTTTTGAAATCCAATTATCACAGGGACAGAAAGTGAGATGAACAAGGGCACAGATGGCAAAACAAACACTGCAAGGATGTTAGCCCTTCCCTGTGCCATCCAAAGCTAAAATATATGTATTTTGGTTGGAGTTACACTTTAAAAATATACCTGTTCCAACTTACATACAAATTCCACTTGAGAACAAACCTACAAAACCTATCTTGTACGAATTTGGGAACATTATTTCTTGGAAACATTATTTCTTTCAAAATGACAACTCCCCCAAAACTAAATCTTCCAAACTCTGATTTCCTGTGCTAGAGTTTCAAATTACATCTATAGAGGGGCAATCAAGATCATTCAAGGGATATGCAAGAAGAGAGGTGAGAAGTTAGAAATTATTTCCTTTTATGGTTCTGACAAAAACCAAACCTTTGAAGCACACTTGCAGCTTTGGAGTAATGATTGTTTTGGTCACAACCATGGGGAAGAAAAGAATTTTAAATGTTCCTGGGCAGCCAGATCAATGTTAATGCATCTATTTTCGAAGAAAAAAAGGGAACTCCCGAATGCGATCCCAAATTTGACCTATTTGTTTAATCCTAAAATACTCCTGAGTTCTTGAAATTGAAAGGAGGAGGCACAATTACTTAACATATCATAAATTGTATCTAACTCACTGTAATCATGAATTTTCATATCCACATATTCCCGGATGGGCATCTGTCTTTCTGCTACTGTCTTCTGCACCTTTTCATTTAATTCTAGATCAAAGAGTTCTGGAAAGCAAAGGTAGACAAATTAATATCGTAAAATACGTTAATTGCAACTATATTTTGTATAATTGAAAACTGAGGGCTTTGGGGAAGGGATATACCACAAACACAACATTATGCTGAATTAAATACTGGAATACCAGGACTATTAGAAAACTAACTGGCTATGTTTGTATGATCAGAGACTTTCCTCAAAGGGACCATTTTGGTGCAATGCTATCAGTCTTAAGCACCACCCCAACTGTGCACACATGTAGCTCTTTCACAGAAACAACTAACATATGCACCAGCTGTTTGATGCTTATTTTTAATCATTCTTTTATTCCACACAGTGCAGTTCTGGATTGTGTCATCACCACTCTAGCTTTAAAAAAAAATCTGTTACTATTTGTGTGTTATGGTCATGATTTTGTGGCAAGCTGTTTATGAAAATGCTTTGGTGGCTGATTATTCAACTCTAGGTTTGGCACACAGTCAGAGCCAACCATCCACTGGTTGAAAAAAATATCCTCCCCAAAATTCTTGTCTAAAAAGCAAATTTTAATTTAGCTATTTTATGCAAAGGACACCAATTTTCCTTTTTTTTCATGTCCGGAGCGACTTGAGAAACTGCAAGTCGCTTCTGGTGTGAGAGAATTGGCTATATGCAAGTACGTTGCCCAGGGGATGCCCGGATGTTTTGATGTTTTACCATCCTTGTGGGAGGCTTCTCTCATGTCCCCGCATGGGGAGCTGGAGCTGACAGAGGGAGCTCATCCGCACTCTCTCCAGTTTCAAACCTGTGACCTGTCGGTCTTCATTCCTGCCAGCACAAGGGTTTAGACCATTGCACCACTGGGGGCTGAAATTGTTTTTAATGAAATAGTTTCTAATGTTATAATGGTTATAATGTTTATAATGAAATTGTTTATAATGGAACTTTATAACTTCATTATAATGTTTATAATAAAATCGTTTATAACGGATCTTGAATATTATTGATTTGGGTACCCAAGGATTGGTGAGGGCTCTAAAACAGGCATGGGCAAATTCTGGCCCTCCAGGTGTTTTGGACTTCAACTCCCACAATTCCCTACTGGCTGTTAGGAATTGTGGAAGCTGAAGTCCAAAACACCTGGAGGGCCAAAGTTTGCCCATGCCTGTTCTAGATCCAAACCCCAGTGGTTACCAAGGGCCCATTGTAGTTTTAAAGGGACTATCCAAGACACTGATCGTATTTGGAGAGCTAAGATTCAGAACCTTGGATAGCATCCTTAAAGCCTTAATTAAAACCTGGTAAGAATTCACAGTCTAATGTCACAAGAGCTGCTTATTACTGAACGAAATCTTTTTTTAAAGACCACTAACTGTTTCATCAGCCAATTGATACATAAGGAAAACTGTGTGAAGTCACTAAATCTACCTATCTCCATCTGTTCCACAACAGATGATCACTTCATGACAACATGGCTCTTCACCCATATCATGGGGTTTTCTTGGCAAGCTCTGACTTTGGTTTGAGTTTGACTTCCTCTAATGAAAGTTGCCCAGAGGGTTTAATGACTGAGTGTAGATTTGAACCCTGGTCTCCAGAGTAACTAGGTTGTGGTGCAGCTGGTTGAGAGTCAGCTGCATTAAAATCACTACTGAATTAAAGGTCATGAGTTCGAAGCCAGCCTGGGTCGGAGTAAGCTCTCCACCATTTGTCTATCTCGCTGTCGACCTTTGTAGCCCAAAAGACAGTTGCACCTGTCAGGTAGGAAATTTAGATACCGCTTATGTGGGTAGGCTAATTTAACTAATTTATGATGCCATAAAAATCTCCAGCAACATGCAAAAGAATGAGGAAGTACTCCATTGGTGTTACAAGTGGACAGTGAAGTGACAGCTCCCCTGGTGGCTGGAATTTAAACATACCCTTATGGAGCTGGAAAGTTAAATAGCCTCTGTGTCTCTGTATATATATGTTGTGTGTCTATTACATTGAATGTTTGACATGTATATGTACATTGTGATCTGCCCTGAGTCCTCTGTGGGGTGAGAAGGGCAGAATATAAATACTGTAAATAATAATAATAATAATAATAGTAGTAATAATAATAATAATAATAATACTCTAAGATTCAAACTATTGTACCACACTGGCTTCCAAAGTGGAATTACATTGTCATAACTGTGTAGAGTGAAAATGCCCATAAAGCATTTGTGCTGGTACGGCTGTACCAGGAGCTCCAACTTTATTTTTCTGCTAAAGTTTGCAGTTATAGGGCAGGCCTCCTGTACATCTTAATTAAGCTTTGGTTCCGTCTCTTGTTCAGGCTTCTGGGAGGGAAAGGAGCCATTTTTTGGGCAGTCTCACACAAGGTAGCTAAGCTATAGGACGTAGACCAGCTCATTCCATAGAAAAGCTTCCTTTCTTAAGACCATCCAGGGAAATTGAAGTCCAAGGAAAAAAGGAGCTTCCAGGGAAAAAAGGACCATCCATGGAAAACTGAACTGAGCTTCCAGGGAAAAAAGGACCATCCAGGAAAACTGAAGTTTACTGAACACAGCTGAAATATCTTCAAGCCTCAGCCAGTAAGATCTGCTCGATACCCAGACACGCTTGGATTTGGTAGTAGCACCCACACCGATGAGGCATAGATAAAAGGCAGCCTGGGAGAGGTTAAAAAGGGTTTTTCCTACAGAAAAGGCTCAGTTGATCAAAGTCAGGTGCCAGTCCATTGAAGACTAGTCTAAGAAAGCCTTAAAGTGTTGTTTGAACCATTGAAGATTTGTTGTTTGTTCCATAATAAAGACTTTGTTGGATCATTAAAGACTCTAAAGACCATCACTTCAGAAAAATCTCTGAGAACCTCTCTTTGAGGCGTCCCTGGCTTCCCACTGGGCTCAAAGTATACGTCCTATAGAAAAGACAGCTATTACAGGCCCAGCGCGTGACAGAACAGCACTCTTACTCTTACTTGACATTCAGAACTTCAGAAGACCAACTGATGTATTCCCAGCGTCTGTAAAGTATCTCTGAACATAATCTATGATTGGATTGCCCTACAAACTAGAGGAATAAATACTTGTGTACTTGCTGGGACTCATAAGCATGTCCTGGGTTTAAATGTTTGTCTCCAATGAATTAAGCAAGGAGAGGCTGCATTACAAAGCCCTGCCAATTCCAATTAATGAGCTTTTTTCATAGAGATTTCAGCAGGTGGGTTTAACGGTTCAGCGAGCACTCAGACGGGTTCCTGAAAAGGCTCTTCTCATCTTTATTGAAATCATAACCCTTGCGAAAGCTCCAAAGCATCAGACTATTAAGTTTGGTTAAATGTTAGGATCCTTATTTAATTATGGCTTGCACAATTAGCTTTATCAGCAGAAAGAGGCTGGCCACGCAGGGACTCGGGAAAAGCCATTCTATTTGCTCACATAATTGCATCCAGAGAAAGGCAGGAGATGAGTGGAGGAAACAAGAGGAGACTGACATATCTCCCAGAGAATTCTCAATTTACTTCCCTGCTTTAGGACCGCTGGGAACCCTTGTCTGCGCAGTACAAATAGCCCGTTCTTAATTAAATGTAAGCACACCATAATATTGGGTGAGATTTGCACTTATCTGATCATTGCAGAATTCTCCCTTAATGTGGCCTCACATTATGAAATAAATAGAACTTCGTGAACAAGAGGCGCTCACAATGGCTTCCTTTATCCGCTGAGCCAAGAGAGAGTTGCCTAATGTGCGGAAGACTGGGCAAAAGGTAATCAGATGCAAAATGAGGCAATTCAGCAAATCTATGCGTGCCTCGTTTACCCCCTTATATCTTTTGTACACAAACACATTTTACTTTCCCAAATCCCCAACTTTCACTGCTGGCCTTGTTCAAAATGAACCTGAGTTGGCGGATTCCATGTCTCTGTATGTGTCTACGTTTCACATCCAGCATTTGCATCAAAACCTCTGGAAGTTATCTAAGATGCCAGAATTTCCACCATTAGGTTGAGTACCTTGTATACCTTCCTTGAAATTTAAACAAAACCCAAGAATGAATGTGCTGGTGAATTAATGTGAGAAATACCCACCACTGCAGCATTACTTTAGTTCTGTGCATTGAACGTTCACAAATATTTAGTTGGGTTGTTGTAAGTTTTTTCGGGCTATATGGCCATGGTCTAGAGGCATTCTCTCCTAACGTTTTGCCTGCATCTATGGCAAGCATCCTCAGAGGTAGTGAGGTCTGTTGGAACTAGGAAAAGGGGTTTATATATCTGTGGAAACCAGGGTGGACAAAGGACTCTTGTCTGCTGGAGCTAGGTGTGAATGTTTCAACTGACCACCTTGATTAGCATACAATGGCCTGACTGTGCCTGGAGCAAACTTTTGTTGAGAGGTGATTAGATGTCCTTGTTTGTTTCCTCTCTGTTGTTGTGCTGTTGCAATTTTAGAGTTTTTTTAATACTGGTAGCCAGATTTTGTTCATTTTCATGGTTTCCTCCTTTCTGTTGAAATTGTCCACATGCTTGTGTATTTCAATGGCTTCTCTGTGTGGTCTGACATGGTGGTTGTGAGAGTGGTCCAGCATTTCTGTGTTCTCAAATAAAATCTGTGTCCAGGTTGGTTCCTCAGGTGCTCTGCTATGGCTGATTTCTCTGGTTAGCCAGGAGGACACCTGGCTTGGAAGCAGCACATGTGGAAAAGATCTTGAAGTCCTTGTGGACAAGTTAAACATGAGCCAACAATGTGATGCAGCAGCAAAAAAACCCAATGGGATTTTGGCCTGCATAAATAGGAGAATAGTGTCTGGATCCAGGGAAGTCATGCTCCCCCCTCTATTTTGCCTTGGTCAGACCACACCTGGAATCACACTGTGTCCCATTGTGGGCACTGCAATTGAAGGGAGATGTTGACAAGCTGGAATGTGTCCAGAGGAGGGAGATTAAAATGGAGCCCTGGAGAACAAGCCCTATGAGGAGCAGCTTAAAGAGCTGGGCATATTTAATAATAATAATAATAATAATAATAATAATAATAATAAAACTTTATTTATACCTCGCTACCATCTCCCCAAGGGACTTGGTGCGGCTTACATGAGGCTGAGCCCATATAACAACAATAATAAAAGCAATAACAAAACATCAATACAAAACAATCAAAATAAATCTCATAAACAAAAAATAAACAATAAACAGTAACAGCATATTTAGCTTTCAGAAGAGAAGGCTGAGAGGAGACATGATGGCCATGTATAAATATGTGAAGGGGAGTCATAAGGAGGAGGGAGAAAACTTGTTTTCTGTTGCTCTGGAGAATAGGACACAATGGAACATGACTTCAAACTACAGGAAAGGAGATTCCACCTGAACATTAGGAAGAACTTCCTAATTGTGAGAGCTGTTCAGCAGTGGAACTCTCTGCCCCAGAGTGTGGTGGAGGCTCCTTCTTTGGAGGCTTTTAAACAGAGGTTGGGTGGCCATCTGCCAGGGTGCAATAAATGTGATTTTCCTGCTTCTTGGCAGGCGGCTGGACTGGATGACCCATGAGTTCTCTTCCAATTCTATGATTCTATGGACATAATTTGAATATATGTGCAATACAAGAAGGTGGTATCAATAAGTTAGAATGCAACTGGTGCATTTTTACAAATCATGGCAGTCAAAGCGTGATCAAACTGCTGTAACAGTTTAGTCCCTCTTTTGCTAAATTCAATTATTCAGATAACTGAGCGAAAGAGCTTCAATTTCTGCTATGAGTCTTCTTCCTAAAATCCCTATCTCTCCAAAGTGAAATGCAAAATGGCACCCTTGAGATCTCTACTTACTTTGTTTGTCAGACACATTGTAGACAGTCACCATTGGAACTCTTGGACCTAGAAAAGAAGAGAAAAAATAGATTACATTAAAATAAATAACACAGACAAAATTATATCAAGATGTTTAATTCTGGTAAAGATTTGATTGCTTGGAAACAGGACGTCATCCACAGCATATAAGGATATTTAGCTTCTACTGAAAATAATAATCACAACAAATAATAATAGCAATAATGAAAGCCACTGCCACCACCACAACCATTAGGTTAGATAGACTGTCAAGCTTCCTTGATAGGTATTGTTGAAGGCTTTCATGGCCGGAACCACTTTGGTTGTATGGCTATGTTCCAGCAGCATTCTCTCCTAACATTTTGCTTGCATCTGTGGCTGGCATCTTCAGAGGTTCAGAGGTTCTGTTGGCAGTGAGGCAAGTGGTGTGTGTGTGTATGTATGTGTGTGTGTGTGTGTGTGTATATATATATATATATATATCTGTGGAATGTACTGTATATACTGAAGTATAAGCTGATCCAAATATAAGCTGAGGCACCTAATTTTACCACAAAAAACCCCCCTGGAAAAATATATTGACTCGAGTATAAGCTGAATATAAGTACCAGCAGCTACTGGTAAATTTCAAAATAAAAATAGATACCAATAAACTTACATTAATTGAGGTATCAGAAGGTTAAATATTTTTGTATAGTTGCATAAAACTGTAATTTAAGATAAGACTGTCCAACTCTGATTAAGCCATTATTCTAACCTTCTTAATGTAAATGTGCTTACGTATCCTTTCAATAATACTAAATAGAGTAAAATAATGGAAATGCAATAACAATAATAATAGAGTAAAATAATAAATAAATATAATAATAATAAACAGAGTAAACTAATAAATGTAATAATAGAGAAAAATAATAAATGTAATAATAACAATAATAAATAGAGTAAACTAATAAATAAATATAATAATAATAAACAGAAAAGTAATAAATGTAATAATAGATAAAAATAATAAATGTAATAATAATAATAATAATAGGAACAACAGAGTTAAATAAGAAATAACTTTGACTCAAGTATAAGCCGAGGGGGACTTTTTCAGCCTAAAAAACAGCTGAAAAACCTGGCTTATACTCGAGTATATATGGTATATTAATTGTGCACATGGTGCTTTAAAAAAGTGCGGGGGAAGAAATTTGATTGAAATAGGACTGGAGTAGTAGATCAGACTACTGAATTAGCATTTGCTTTGCTGACCAATATATCAAGCATACTGCAACGTGTGGGATTTGCAGGAGGGAAAGTGATGAAAGAGTTCAAGCCTTGATTTGCATGTACATCTGTATCCAGTCAGAGTGACACAAATGCACCAGCAGCCTTGCTTTTATCTGAGCAACTTTGGTGCATCACATTTTCCTACTCACAAATTCAAAACACAGGAAAGAATGTCATCAGAGAAGCTCTTTGATGACTGAAACATTGAATGTGGGGTGTGAAATCTGCTGTCACCAATAAGCTTTCATGGTCTTCTGCTTTTCAGGCCACTAGCTGGAGGCACACCAGTGGGAGCTTGCTGTATATGGCAATGTTCTCTGTGCACCAAAATACCTGACGTGACTCCAGATGTGCCTGTGTTGATGTGTTTAACTCAACAAAATAGCCTTTTCTATAATATGGGCATGATCAGGTAGAAGAGAAGAAAGAGGTTAGATAATTGTTATCTTTTCTATAGAAGAGGAGATTTCAGAAAGTGATTAGCTTTCTTGATTCCCACCTAACACAAAATCACCTCTTTTACAAAACAAAATAAATTTTCCTCCTTTGGATTTAGATGTATTAGAAGATAATTAACGTCTGAAACAGCAGGGAAAATTTGAGTTATATTTACATATATTGCAAACACTTATCTCCTTCTCCCACTCTCCATTCAAGGTATGGTATATGAAAGAATATAAACACAGGCATAAAAAATTAACAACACTGGAAATAGAGCACCAACTCCTCTAAGAAGCAACAGGAACCAACATATGTAGGAAGAGGTAAACAGAAAGATAGCCAAGAAGGAGGTATGTCTTCCCATCTTGTATTTTTATGTAGTTACTTGTTGAAAGGCCACATATAAATGCTCTGAAGAAACCAGTTCACATTTGACCTTGGACACTAAACAAGGTCAGGCTTAGTTAGGGATCTGGCAAAAAAACCCTATATTTTAGATGAACATAATGGAAAACATGGTGTTCAAATTATGGAGCAGAATTGGTTGCATGGCAAGATGGAAGTGGAGAGTTGGGTGCCATGCTGGATCCACAGGGCTGGACTCTTTCCCAGCACTTCTTGTAGCTGAGCAAAGAGTGGCTGAAGATGATGAGAAGGACAGCTAATGGCTTCAAACGAAGGTTTGTATCCATTGGATGGATGGATGTGGTGGGCCAAGTGGAGTGGCCCAAATGGGGTTTCCACTTTGGTTGGGCAACACAGCATAATGCCGGTTCTTGGGTTTAATTTGCTCTGAGTTTCATTCTACCCTCCCACTCTATTGTTGGATTGTCTTGTGATGTATTCTTATATGTCACAAATTTGTGTGGGAATGGTTGGAATGTATTGTCGAAGGCTTTCATGGCTGGAATCACAGGGTTGTTGTAGGTTTTTTGGGCTGTATGGCCATGTTCTAGAAGCATTCTCTGCTGACGTTTTGCCTGCATCTATGGCAGGCATCCTCTGAGGGTGCGAAACATCAGGAGAGAATGCTTCTAGAACATGGCCATACAGGCCAAAAAACCTACAACAACCCATGGTTGGAATGGGTAACCACCAGCGTCCATTGGATATTGGTTAGGAGGTTCCAATGGGAAACTGGTGAGATGTGCATGGCATCATCCAGCTGTGTGGGGCAGACATACTACACCCCTTGTAACTGCGATACCATGCTGGGCATTTGCACAGATGGACTTCACATGCCATTCCTGGATTCAGATTGTGCTCGGAGAATTGGCTTGTTGATGTCTCAATCCAAACTCTTGTGTGTGCCAACCCTATCCATAGCAGTAACAATCCAAGTTGTGGCTAAATTATATCCAGTAATCAATCAATCATTTAATCAAGCTGGATATAAAGCAACTACAATTTTGTAGGCATACACACACACACACATATACAGTATATGTCTACTGCATATACTGCTCCTGTTTGGTTTGTTTGAATGGAGCAGAACTCACCATTACAAAAGCGAAACATCTCTGAGTAATTACAAAGTAGCATGTACAATCACTGCCAGTCTCCTTGACCAGTCTATGGCAGATAATGTTGGATGCTCACTGGCCATATTGGCTGGGACTAATGGGTTTGGAGTCAAACAACAACTGAAAACTAGTCTCCCCATTCCTTATGGCATAATCTTAAAGCATTCATTTTCCCCAGCTCACCGACTGATGAGCAAGATATTCCATTTCTGTTACACTGGTATTGCATGAGGTTTTAAATTATTAATATTAGCACAGCATATCATATTTTCTCCAGTTCAATGCCTGCAGTTGGAATAGGGCCTACAGTTTGGAGTATTATTAAGTGGTGGGAAATCTGCTGTCATCTATACTAATATAAATTCCAGCATTTCCCACTAAAGTCACTGAAATGGTCTCAGCTTTCTGTCTATTTAAGAGACTTCTTCTGTCTTTTGCTGAGAAAATATACTATTAACATTTGTTCCATTTTTCATTTCAGACAAGTTCATTATTTATATGGTACTGATGGTGAGGGATGGCATCTAGACTTCTTTTGCTTGATTAATATGATTCTGATTCTCATTCCCTGTTAATGAGAGACTCTCTTCATTAACAAGCTGATTTTTGTATTCTCTAACTGGGGAAATGGGCTGCAAATGAAACATAATCCGGAGACTATAGAAAAGGACACCCAGAAATGATTTTTAAATCTTTCTTATATATATTAACTGAGAGCCATCAGATTTGATTTCCTGTACAAATATTAAATGCAGTATAAGAGAAAGAGACTGCCTTTCATCTAAATCACCTAGCGGTATTAGGAAAAATGGTAATTCCCAGCTTTTCTTGTGTTAGATAAGCAAGGGTCTTGAAACGAACAACAACCTTCCACCACCCACCCTTGCCCAACTTCCAAGGGCACATCTATACTATATGAGGGGCAGTCATTAAAGATTTCCCCTGACCCACTTCCTGTGGACCGAGAGCTATGAAACTTGGCACAGTTGTTAGTCCTTCTCTTTAAGTAACTGTAAACACCTCGCTTGTAGAAGTTGACAGGTTGCTCCAATAGCCACGCTGTGACTTCGGAAATCAAAGTCTCATCATTTGAAAAATGCTTGCGCTTCAAAAATAACTTCATTGTTGGAAAGAGGTGGAAATCCGATGGTGCAAGGTCGGGTGAAAAAGGGGAATGTGGTAGAATTTCAAAGCCAGAGGAGCATGTTTCCATTTGGGCAACAGGTGAGTTGTGAACTGGTGCATCGTCTTGCAGAAGGCGGACACCTTTGATGAGCATGCCACGTCTCTTGATTTTGATGGCCTCCCAAAATTTCCACAACAGTGAAGCATAGTATGCCCCAGTGATCCTGGTAGCCATTGCTAAGAAATCCATCAATACTACTCCATCCTGGTCCCAAAATACTGTGAGCATGACCTTGCCTGCCGAGAGTTGGGTATGCGCCTTCTTTGGAGGCGGTGAGTCATGATGCTTCCATTGCATTGACTGGACTTCAGTCTCAGGATCAGAGTGATGGACCCAGTTTTCATCCTGTGTGATCAGTCTGTTGAAAAAGTCCTTCTGGTTTCCATGGCACATCATCAATACAGCCTGAGAGCATTCAATTCAATCCTGCTTCTGGAAAGGTGTGAGCAGCTGGGATCAAGCAAGTGGATAGCTTATGCATGTGAAGATGATCTTGGGTAATTTTTTTTCACAGACCCCACAGTAATCTTGATATTTTGGGCTAAGAGGAGAATAGTTATGTGCCAATTTTCCAAAATGGCAACCTCCACTTGCTAGATGGTGTGTTCATCAATAGCAGAGGGAGG